AAATTCACACGAAATATCGCATAAATTTATGCCAAATCTAGCGTTAATTTAATATCTCGCAGAAATTTACATGAATTTTTAGAACGGTGCAGCCCGTGCTAGTGTGACATTCATTTTTAATTTTGTTCAACTTAACATCTTGACTTGATAGGTACAGTTGTTCTGATGAACTGGACCTATTCTATAGTAAACATATCAGAGTTCACTCACTTCCACTCAGACAGCGCTAGTGTGAAATATTTTTTTAATTTTCTGTTACTTAACGTCTTGACTAGAAAGAAGGTTCCCGTTTTCGGAAAAGTTGTTTATTTAGACTAGATCATTTCAATGGCAAACAGTTCAGCTCATAATACACTCACCAGGTGATATCATTTTTCTGCCTATTCTTAACATCCTGACTGAATTTTGAACTGAACTGTTTACTCTAGATTAGGTCTTGTTCGTCTGAAAAACTTTGCCAAAGATGGGAACCTCTTTCATGTCAAGATGTAAAGTTAAAGCAAATTTAAAATGAATGACACACTAGCGCCAATTGGAGTGTAAATTACGAATTAAAATGTTTATCATAGAATAGCTGTAGTCCATCTGAACAATATTGCTGAAAATATGAACGTTCAAGTCATGATGTTAAGTTAAATGGAAATTAAAAATAAATGGCACTAGCGCCACCTGGTGAGTGTATTCTGAGCAGAACTGTTTACCTTAGAATAAGTCTTTTCCATCTTGCCGACGACAAGAAGCTTCCATATGAGCAGGATCTGTAGATATAAGATAGCGTATCTTGATTATTTTCGTATTGGCGCCATCTAATGTGTAAATTGTGAAATAATAAGTTGTTTAATAAGTGTTGTTTAATGGATTTTAATTCAGCCTTAGTTTGAATATTTGTTGTACATTGACCACGTTAAGCTTTGTTCAGCTTTTAAACATCTAAATCTGGTGATTTTAATCAGCCGAAAGCTTAACAGTAATATAAATTATGAGCTTTTTATGACATTAAATAACAGTCTTTTCCAACCGTTGTTCAGCCTTCTAGTTTTAATTTGAAAAAAAAAAAAATGGAAGACCACATATCATATGTATTTTTATGGGACTGAATAGGATTTACATATTTATACTGTCTAAAAATTACCTTTGCATTTCGAACCGGCAGCCGCTGATTCATAGGCATCAATCATACCTACTGAACCACTTAAGCATATGTGTGGCAAAATGTAAACACGTCAAATTTAAGTTGAATAACAGCAACCAGAAGAGGTTTATACAGCAATGCAGAATTGTAAACAACAACTGGTGACAGTAAAACATTCCTCTCATTTTCAAGAGTAGTTAACACCAGTGCTGCAAAATCTCGACAGTACACGGTGATATTGACAATTCTGCTTTGGTCACTCATTTGAGCTAACAGTCATAGTCAAGGCAAACCATGTCAATTGTCAATGACAATGGTGTCAGTGACGAACATGTGCAGATTTGTTTATTAGCTAAATTTGTAACGAAATTAAATGACTTGAGCAAAACAATTACATGGATCCATTTCAGTGAACAAGTATCTACGTCCTGAGCTACTTGGATAACAATAATGTGACACAGAATGTACTAAATTACACTTTTTGTTACCAGGTGAATCTTTGTCATTGACGAAAAAATGAATGAGATTTTGACGAAGGTTTTTTTGAGGATCAAGTCTGTCAGTGACTATGTGACGAACAATTTTGTCAGTATCGCGCGAAAGTCTGTCAATGACAATGACAAATCTCAGCACTGGTTAACACAATGTGGACTCAAGTGCGCGATTTATTTCGATGGTCATGTGGAAGCTATTTTAGTGCCATAATCGAGTTATATTTTCGGAATGCTGTCTGAAAATTCAGTGCAATATAGCACTCAAAACAAAGAAATAGAAATGTTAATATTTCTAAAAAGCTCATCGACCTTATCTCTACTGCTGCTGCTGCTGCTTGGGGTTAGAAATGTAGACAGTGAATTTAGAAGAACTAAAATGACGGAAATGTGAGTGTGAGTGACACTGACTACATTTAACAAATCAGTCTATCCAAATATTTGTAGTGCATTGCTGATTTGTGGAGTAGTGTTAAGCTAAAATAAGGCTTGTTCAATCTTTTGACCAGGTAACTTATTGAGGTTGAATTATGGGGATACAATTAGCTTCATGCACTACTAATCAACAATATATTCAGCCTGCTGTTAATCAGTTTTGTACACCCTAAATCAACCAATAATCAGCTTCTGTTCTTACTGTTCAGCTTGAATTGTTACTTGGGCTATCTATCCGCAAACCAAAAATGTATGACATTGAATGTTAGTTGCATTTCCTATCATCCTCCGCAGCAAATACCGCAGATAATGATATGAGTTGACCATGCAGATGATGTTATGATTTTTTACCATATTTTTTTTCGTGTTCAGTGTACGCTTTCGATTATACCATCAAGCTTTTTATTTATAACATTGTAGAACGACGCACACACTTGCCACGATTCAAGCATACGAAGTCGAGTGTGAGAAGAAATGAGCGCTTCTTATTCGCTTTTAGACTATCCTTATTCAGAAGCATGGAAAGAGCAGTGGAGAAAGCACAGGTCTGAAAATCGCAACGTTCGTGGTTCGACTCCAGTCGGCAGCATTTACAATTTTTTTTCGACACGATTCATTTCACTCACTAATACACTCCCCATTTTTCACTTTCCAATTTCTTGCATTGGACCGCAGGTTGGTATATTGCATCCTCTATTGAGGTGGTCTTCACAAACATCCTGCGATGTGAATCCCTCATAATTGTAAGAAAATCTTATATCTTTTGGTTTGGTGTGGTTTTGAAGACTTTGTGCTCCTGAACATATTTGAGAAAGGAAGCAACAGCATCTCTAACATTGAAATATTCCACTTCATGAGTACACTTTTACATAGCTCCTTCCCACGAAAGATCGGCCGCAAACAATGATTGATAATATTAACTTAAGTTCACTAACTTTACTTGGCAAAGCATTTGAATTTCAATAAATCATTGAAATTTCGCTAATACATACACGGAAATTTTGATCTGGGGTCCAGACAGCATAAGTTTTTTAAGGCACAGACAATGGGATAGCGCATTTGCCTTTTTCTCCTGAATATCATTTGAGCTCAGGGGGTTGGGAAAGACAACATCTTGCCAAGCAGCAGAGATTCAAGAATTGTTCCCATTATTTTGATCATCATAAAACACCAGTAATTTTTTTTTAGGCTTTCAATTAATCAGTTTTTTGTTGCTATGAACTCATTGTCTTGAAAATAAATTGAAAACAGATTAAAACTTTGATTTTATATAGATTTTCCAAAAATAGTTCATTGTTCTAGCCCCATTCAACCAGATATGGAATAATTCCATATAATAAATAAGAAATTCAAAGTACCAACATTAATGTGGAGTAGCTGCAAACGTACATACTTTTCGCTAGGACCTCAGTAAAACATGATTGGTTGGTGTTACCTATTTACCGAGATTCAGCAAACAAGAATAAGCGTATTTTTCTGCAGAGTAAATATACATCTAGCATAGTTGCTCCCACTTGACACCAGTAGTAAAAGTTAAAAAATGGAATTTTCATCTTTTTGCGATGATGCACAATCAGTCTAATTTGCAGTCTGAATCAGTCGCACTCGCACTAATTAGAAGGTGTACCTACCGAGGCCATCAGTGTTTGCATCATTTGCATCATTTTTAGATGGAAGCATACATAGGGTTAACTACCCCATTTCCGGCCTATCAAGCACAACCCGCACTTAGTTATTATTACTGATGGCTTCCAAATTTATTTACCTTTCCGCACGTACAGTAAGATTTGCTAAAGAGAAACAAATTGTTGAGATATTGTTAAAAGTCTAAGACTGCTTCTTGACGCCAAACTTGGCCTATGGATTCCAAACTCGGCCTAACGCATTGAAACGCCATTGAAACGCCAATGAATTCACTTTGGCCTATTAGATGAGGTAAAGATTGATTCGGTTGAAGCACTTCATCTGTTTTTGAGAATATTCGGTGCAAACATTCATATCACGCGTTCTCATTGACTTCGTTCGGTAGCATTTGAACTAAAGTATCGTACCAAACGCATAATTTACCTGTTAACACCGAAATCATAGATTTATTTGATGTTTTCTGCTTGGATAGGCCCAAAATGGGCGCTTAGGCCGAAGTAGTGCTCTACCCTATTATGTTTCATAAATGTCGTCCAGTTTGAGTGTGCACATGGTCAGGTCGGACAGCTGAAACGTTGTGATCTCATTTTCTGCCACTCTGCGCTACATCCGGAGAGTTTCAGCAAGCCATCGGAGTATAATCCCTCCATTTGAATATTCTGACCCCTGGACTCATGGTTACCGAGAAAGTCCGTGGCATACGGGTTGCCATGCAGTACAATCCACAAACACTCGTCGTCATTATACTGTATGTAGTGATGTACTGCTACTACTAGCTGGACTACCCAGCATCCTCTTGCTCGGAATAAAACAATGGAAGGAATGACTTTCATGCCCCGAAAGCGTTGGCGCATAATGACTTGACTGTTTGAATTCATGCTCGCATAATGGAAAACAAACATATTCCATATTCAGCATGGTCTTTCGCGTGGCTTGAAAGAACGGGATTGTTGCAGCTATTATAAAGCAAATAGTACCAAGGTGGAACTTTATTTTCGTGGGAATTGAATGATATAGATATAAGGCATTAAATAGCTTATTGTTACACAATAGGCATCAACATTATCATCATGTCTTGTAAGGATTAGAGAAGCGAGTGCCTTGCTGTGCTTCCCTATTAACAGTGGAACAGGGGAGGGACGGCAGTTGGACTGCACTCAGAAATAAATAGTATTCTTAACGGGTAAGCTCGTTCTTGAAAATGAAACCAGGACAGTAAACTGTATATTTTTTGTACTCGAACTGGAAATCTATAACCACTGAAACATTCGATGGCATACATTTGCATCAATACTTACTGACAACTCGTATAATAATATCCGGATCCGTTAACCTAACTTCGAGTAACAAAGGCAGTACTTCGTCTATTATCTGTTATCCGTTGCATCAGCGTTGCAGGAGAAAATGAAACAAAGCATGATTACCCAAACGTTCAATTTTAGTTTTATGTTGGAATAATCCTGAAATCTTGCTCCGCAAACGCAACTAGGAGCGCTTTAGCAACAGATTTATCTGTGCAAGAATGTTGAAATAGATGAAATGTAACGTAACATGGTATGAAAACGAGCAAATATCGTACATCTTATCGACGTTGCAAATCCACCACTCACCTGTGACTTGTCGAGCTTGTCTAGAGTTCGTTCCACACATTGCAGCACATTGCCCATAATCTTCAGATCGCTTTGGTTCTTCTCAAAAACTGATTTTAGCTTTGGTAGCACCAGTTTCTTAATCGTTATGTCATCCAAGTAGTCGTACACGTTCGTTACAGCTACCAGTGCAGCGCTCTATTTTTTTTTGCATTGGAGTGGGGTGAGGGAAAATGTAGGGGATTAGAAAATGCACATCGAATTTGATTTCAACGTTTGTAATTCTTTATGTATCGTAGGTTGACTGGGAATGTACTCAAAATGGCTGCTCGTTGAAACTAGGTATCTGGTTTGAAAAGATTCTTTAATGTCCATTTTAAAACGATTGTTCTGTAGAAATCTATTAAAAACTGGCAGATATTGCAGATTTTCAATGTATTATCCATTATTGAATTGAGGCTAGAGTTCTCAAATGGTTTGAATCATACTTAATTAACCACCAACAAATAGTTAGATTCAAAGGTAAAAAAATCGAACCCTATTAAATGGCGTATTCGTGGAAAATGGCACACACATAAACAGCTGTAACTTTTTAACTATTATACCAAATGTCTAGAAATTTTCAGTGAATTAATGTTTAGTCCATAACGTACATATGTGATGTTTATGATGGTCTGAGAGGTGGTTGGAGTAATAGTCATGAGCAGGCATGGAAAATCATTCACATTCATTTCATGCATTCATTTGCCTCTAACTTTTTTCATCAACAGCATTCCGCAAAATGCCGTACAGAGCTTTAGTAGGATTTGTTATTAGCTACAACTTTTGCCTGAAACTCAAATCTGTATCTTTTATGCATCACGAATTAGAGCGGGCAGAACTTGTTACTGTTTTTCAGTGAATGTAAAATACATTCACTAAAAAAACATTAGTGGCTTCTGTTCGCTCTGGTTCGTCATGCATAAGAGATACGGATTCAAATTGCTAACAAAAGTTGTAGCTAATAAGAAAACATAAAAAAGCTCTATACATTACTTTGCGGAATTCTGCTGATGAAAAAAGTTAGGGGCAAATGAATGTAAATGAATGCACGAAATGAATGCAAATGACTGTCCATGCCTGGTCATGAGAACAACATGCAGTCTTATAAGATGTAATAGTCCCAAATCTTAAATCAGCGGTTATGCAAGGGAATTCTTTCGTCGTTGTTGCTGTTGAATCTTGGAACAAATTTTTTTTTTGCAAAATATTGTAAATAAAAATACTGAACAGTTAGTCATAACTTTCATTTCAAAAATCAAAACCTTCCTAAGCAAATAAAAAATCAGTCCTTTTACGCCAAAGAAAAATAGGGGCCTAGTATTTTTTGTCACACTTGAAAGATTCTAAATCAATAAATAAATTGAACAAGGAGTGGAAAAATAAATAAAACTACACAAAATGCAGTTTTTGCCACTGTACCAAATTTTTAAGACAACATTTTGTTTTCTTGATCTAAGCTCAAGTCAGTGCTCATGTTTGAATCATGTCATACTTTTTACTAATTAAGAACTATCTAAACCATCATCCTTGAAAATTTGATGTGGTATAATAGTTAAAAAAAATACAGCTGTATATGTGTGTGCCTTTTCACACGAATACACCCTTTACTGTTACTTCTGGAATCTCCCAAGGCTATTGTCTAGTCCTCTTTTGTTTTTTTTATTCGTAAACGGCATTCCCGTCTTCCTTAAAAACATAAAAGTTCTAATTTATGCTGAATACATGAAGCTCTTTTTAGAAATATGAAACAAAGAAGACATCGGCATTCCAGAATGAAATACGCTTATTCTATATTTGGTGTAACAAATGCCTGCTACGCTAAACATGTAATTTATTAACTATTAATAGAAAAAGAAACATACCAGACATTTAAATGCTATAGGGAAATCAAGCGGTGGAAAAGTGTGAAAAAGTTAGGGATCTAGGATTTATCGTTAAGGACAAACCAATATTTACTGATTTTTATAATACAATCATCAACAAAACATACATCATGCTTGGCTTCGTAAAACGATTCAGTTTTAATTTTCACAACCCGTATACAAGATTCAAATTAGGGGGAGCGGGCAAAAAAAAACTTTATATGGTGAATTAGGTCAGACCCCGATTTGCTGAACGTCTTTATACCAAAGCTATTAGACTGGACAGATCACTAAGTCAACAATCAGTTAATCGAAACTGATTTTTTCCAACCAGAAATTAAGAATTAAATTTAAAAAAAAATGTGAAACTTTGTTTTTTAATAAAGTTGATTTCATTTTGATCGAGTTAACGGCTAACATAACAAGAAGGAGAACAAAAAAGTTATGGAAGATTATCAAAATATTAAATTATTTTAATAACTCATTGATAATTTATTGTGATATAAATATTTTGTTTGGATTACAACTTCAGTCATTACAATGTTATTGCATGTATGGCGAGAAAACAAAATTAAAGTACATCAAATTTTTATTTCATCATTAAAATATCATAACGATATCAAATTTTGTTTTCACTTCAAGTTGTTAATATATCAAAATATTTCATCAACAAACTGATATCAAAGTTTGTATTCATATTGATGTTCAGAATAATATTTAATACAATTTAATTATTATTTTGATTTAAGACTTTGTCCGTGATGGCATAAAGTGATAAGTCGCTTGAAAAAAAAAATACTGGTGGATTATGGGCACGGTTTACAAATTCATGGCTAAAGCTCATTTAATTTGTTATTCCGAATTGCTGAGATTCTGGATCCTGGAAAAACAGAAAATGATTAAAGTTTTTAAACAACAAGATAAGGAATCAAAGTTTCAGAATGCTGGAAATCATTTAAAAGAAAAACTAAAAAATATAGTATACCTGACTGCCCGAGGTATAAACAGCAGGGAGACAAAATTAAGCGATCTCTGCAAACTCGCTCCAAGAGAACAATAGCAGAACTCTTGAAGAATACCGCTTCATCTTCTCAGACCAAGCGGCATCGGTGGTGTAGTGGTAAGCGTGATTACCTCTCACCCCAGCAGGCCTGGGTTCAATCCCAGTCGGCGCCGCCGGGATGTTCTGAGGCATAACATCTCTGATCACGCCTTCCTTCGGAAGGGAAGTAAAGCCGTTGGTCCCCGGTTCATGAGTTGATGAGTCGATAGGTAGGGTCCAGGTGTGGGAGCTGCCTCCCTAGCGTCGGTAGCATTGGTGCTCAGTACGAAAAACAAGATTGACGAAAAACAAATCAAAGGAAAAAAAATCTTCTCAGACCGCACCAAAAAGCAGTAGCACGTTCTCCATTTTGCCAGTTGATGATCTAGACTCTGACTCAGAGGTCGGTGAGGATAGTCCGTTTGTCTTTAAAGGCAATACGAGAAAACGAGCAAAAAACACACCACAGAAAAGCCTCGTAAGGCCACTCGTATGGACCACCCTTCGCACTTGGAAAAATCAAGAGGTAACGGAAATGCACCGAAACCCATTCCACCGGGTTTTAAACCTTGTAATTATGACAAGAACTTTCCGTCACTTCCAGAATCATCTAAAACCCCAGATGTCAAAGTTTTTCGGCCAGAAAATCAGCTGAATAATCAGCAAGAACATGCCCCCATGTTCACGTTTTCTGGTATTGTGGATAGCTTCTTCAGTATATTCAATATCTCTGACTCAACGAGAAGCATGATTTATTTAGTGCTGCCAATGGTGAAAACTCTTTTGAATCAACTAGCTTCTAGGTGGTCCTTCCTTGCATCGATCATATCCTTTGATGGATAATTCTCGGAATGAGGTCGGGGATATGATCTCTGTTCTTCAGTGGAACTGTAGAAGTCTTATGCCAAAACTTAACACATTTAAATTTTTAGTTAACAACTCACTTTCTGATGCATTTGCCCTTTGCGAAACATGGCTCTCTTCAGACAACGATCTTGCTTTCCACGATTTCAACATTATTCTCCTTGACCGCGCAGATTCGTATAGAGGGGTGCTTCTGGGGATCAACAAGCTCCATTTCTTCTACAGAATCGATCTGCCTTCGGTGACAGGCATTGAAGTTGTTGCATGTCAGGTTAACATTCGAAGTAAATGCCTCAGTATTGCCTCAGTATATCTTCCACCGAGAACTGCGATTTCTCGTCAAAGTTTCTCGGATATCTGCACAGCTATGCCGGAGCCACGGTTGATTTTGGGCGATTTTAACTCTCACGGTACAGGATGGGGGGAACTGTACGACGACAACCGCTCAACCTTGATATACGACATGTGCGACTTCTTCAAAATGACAATTCTGAACACCGGGGAGGCAACACGAGTAGCCAATACCTCCAGCAAAAGTAAGCAGATTAGACCTCTCACTTTGTTCGATTTCATTATCGTTGGATTGCTCGTGGAAAGTAATCCAAGATACCTACGGTAGTGATCATTTGCCAATCAAAGTTTCTATTACCAATGGTTCATCTTCTACTCGCTCGGTTGATATCGCGTACGATCTTACAAAAAACATTGACTGGCGAAAATTCGCTACCGCGGTTCTTGATGCCAGTCAATCGGTTGAAACATTCCTCCACTGGACGAGTACTCCTTTCTTGCGCGTCTTATCATCGATTGTGCGCTGCGAGCACAAACGAAACGTGTTCCGGGTGTTTCCGTTCGCAAGCGACCTCCCACTCCGTGGTGGGATTTGGATTGCACCGACGCGAACAGCGAGAAGTCCGCCGCGTTTAAACGCTTCCGCAAACACGGTAAGGTCGAGGATTTCGAGCGGTACACCGACCTCGAGAAAACGTTTAAAGGCTTGATTAAATTAAAAAAACGCGGCTACTGGCGTCGGTTCGTCGATGGTTTGTCGCGAGAGACTTCCATGAGTACACTCTGGAATGTCGGCAGGAGAATGCGAAACGTGTCATCATCGAATAACGAAGACAAGGAGTACTCGGACAGTTGGATATTCAGCTTCGCGTGGAAAGTTTTCCCGGATTCGATGTCAGTTCAAACTAACGTTCGTGATCGTCCGTCGGGTAATAACAAAATAGTATCCCCGTTTTCGATGGTGAAATTCTTACTTGCTCTCCTTTTATGTAACAATTCAGCTCCTGGAATCCCAAGCAGGAACGAATATCTCGATACCCTAAATTGGTATGGATGAGCCTGACATAAGAGGTAAAATACCAAAAAATAATACCAAA